GTAAAATATCTCTATTAATTGCTTAACACCTAGTTAACTAGTTAACTTTCTAAGTTAACCTCCCAATGGAGCAGAACTCCATTGTTCTAATAAAGCTTAGAGGCTGATAAAGCTGTTATGAAAGAAGATTTGATCATTATTTTATGAAGGAGGACCCAATTTCATACACTAATATCTTATGAATTAATCACAAGCCTTTATTCTAGCATCTCTAGATCTTTCAATCTGACAGGTAAAAAAAAAATCAAATTGCATATAAAGAGCCTAAGTAGAAAATGCATGGAACAAGTTGACAGGAATGCTGCTTGCTTATCCTAATTCTAGTATGTAAGAATATTCCCTGGGGAAAGTCATTAAATTTTCTGGGACTTGTATTAGCCACTGTGAAATAAGGTGGTTGGTTCAATAGTCTGTTTGGCGAAAGAGTTTGTACCTCTATGGAATTAAGTCTCAAGAAGAAAAATTATCACCTCACTCTTTTGCTTTAAAAACCAAGCTGGATGTAGCCAAGGATAAAGCTCAGTAGTTTATAGGCCTCATATGTATGGTCTAAAGATCATTTCCTGGTGCCTCCAAAATATCAGGTTAGAAAAATAATGGGCATCAAATTGATATGTAAAGGAATAGATATATCTTCAACTTACTAACTGAAGATAAATTAGATTGAAGAAGGTGAAATGGCCATACATGATCCAAAGTAGCAATTTCTAATAAAATATCTGTTCATCAGTATTTGAAAGAGAAAACTTTTAAAAATGTGCAGCTCATCTAAATATACTACTTTAAAATTTATAAAGTCTTGTAGTCATTCTTTCTGTTAAACAGTCCCCTCATTCTTCTCTCCTCATTTTAATTTTGAGTGGCCAAATCTACCATATTGTCCAAAAAACAGAAGTGATACTACACAAGACTTCCCTGATTTCCTAGCTATTAACAATCTCTCTTCAGAACTTGAGAATAGTTTATATATGTTTATAATTTTTGTACGGCACTTATTTCTTCCCAAGTAACACCTCCCTTACCAGCTAAGTCTCATCTATTTCAGCTTTCAATTATCCCTGAAAAGAGGACAGTGTCTTACACAAAAACATATTTAGCGACTACTTTTTTACAAATTTAGGCCAAAGAAACAGTACAGGGAGGTAGGTGTCAATCTAGCATGCACGTACCCAAGCCAGGCTTGCTCCATGGCACACGGACACCTCAGCTTTGTCAGGTGATCAAGCATCTCTGGGATACCCTGCTGACCCTGTGCCTCCTGAGCACTGCTTGGAAGGCAGCCCCCCACCATCCAACCACATAAAAAATAAGTAATAAACTCTAACTCAAGAAGCTTTAAATCCTTATATTTCTAAAGTCCAAAATAAGTCCATAGTTTCTGTTCAAATGTTTTTACCGAATGTTTTTTAACACTTCCCCAAAAAGCTACAAACCAAAAAGCTCACAGCTGACACTTAAGGCCTTACAAAAGTTATTATGAAGTACTTGTTCTACAATACAAAACAGATCCAAAAAAAGGAGTAAAACTTCCTATGAGTATTTTTCAATCAAATGATAATATGTCTAGAAAATTAAATGGAGAACCCTCTCCTTTAGCTTGAATATTTTAAGGGATTTTGTATACTGGACTAAACCCAAAGCATCTTTTACCAAAGGGTTAAAATTCTACAACCACAATAAGGGTCAACATCTTGATGTGATCAGAAAAGAAGCTTTACTATCTCCTGATTATGCAAAGTCATGACAATTTCTGCTTTCTAACCTATAAAATCAAGTTAATTGCCTATCTTGTTCACATAGGGTCTTTAAAAATTCTTCTGTGATGAGTCTTTACAACTAAAATAAAGTTCCTTAGACAACATTTCTATCTAATGTCAATCTAAATTTGTACTTCAAAAACAAATTCAAAACTCCATTAATAACCACCTGAAGGGGCTCTCTATCATCAATACTAATTAAAAATATCTTGTGTAAGCATCAGATATGCTGAAATTAAATGCATAAAAAATCTCTTAAAAAACTACAAGAGTTCCCTATTTATCTTACAGATTAAAATTATCTACAAGATATTAGTTTCTCAGAAATTAGTTCAGGTGGACAATTTAGTAAATTCCCAAAGAAATTACAATTATGTTTTAAATAATATCCCAGTAGATACTAAGATCACTGAATTGGGGGGGAGGAGAAACATGTCTCGTTTTCACTGAACCCAATGTCTATAAATTTTCATTAAGTGGTACTTTTAAAAAAGTTTTACACCTCTATCTAGCAAGGGTAGTATAAAATTTCACAAAGAAGAAACTTCTTAATTTGAGGACTCCCAGAAGAGATTGTCACTACAAGCAGTCTGACTGGTTTTCAAGTAATAAGTGAAACCTGATCCCTCCTGTGACCAGTTCAAGTTTGTCTAGAAGCCCACTTGCACTTATTTGTTGATACTGGATATTGCTAGTTTATAGCAAATTAAATAAGGATAATTTTTATAAATTATACATTCAACTCAGATTCACAGGTTTAAAAGATCACAAAGATAGAAGAAATGTTCACAGATCATAATCATATTTGAGACCTTTGAAATAAAAAAAATCCCTTAGAATAATAAAGGATAATACTTAAATAAATTATACTTTTAAGTGGGATACACTAGTTTTAAAGATCACAGAAATAGAAGAAATTTTCACAGATCTCAATTATATCTGAGATCTGTGAAATAAAAAACTATCCTCTGCAACTCAGAATCTTTATTTAAAAAAAATCACAGTAACACACAAAGCAGCTAAAAACAAGCTCCTTAGGCAATATTTCTATTATTAAATTTCTACTCAGACTTATTATTTAAAGACATAACTTCAAATTCCATTTAAATTCTCTAAAAATATTAGAACATCTAAAAAGTTAACAAGTTTCAATAAATTTCATTAAAATATTTCATAAACAATATCTACCTTTCTAAACAAAATACTCAGAAAATATTTATATGAAATGTGAGTATTCACAACTAAATGCTTATTTTAAAAATTCTACCTCAAAGTGAGAATCTTAACCTTAACCTTTAAGAACATTTGAAGCAAATATACCTATTAGCAAAGGATTCCATGCCCTATTTTTAATTCATTCAACTCATACCAATATATAATATTTGGCTGTACTTTACAAAAAACTTAAATGAGGAAGTACATATTCAGGGACCAGAGATCTAGGACAGATAGCAAAGTGCTATCTGCCTTGCACACAGTCAGTTCAATTCCCAGCATCACATATGGTCACCCAAGTGCTAGAGAAAGTGAACTCTAAATATGGAGCCAGGAGTAATCCCTGAGCACAGTCAGGTGTGAACCAAAAACCCAAAATACATGTCTGTTGGGGTTTTCCCCATCCCCTACAAAAAATATCGCTATAGAAAAACTGACTTTTTTTCCTTATTCAATCACCAGGAGCTCTGCTTACAAAGCTTTCATGTTTGAGTTTCAATCATACAATGATCAAACACCCATCCCTCCAGCAGTGCACATTTTCCATTATGTCCCCAGTATCCCTACCACTGCCTCCCCCCCACACCTCCCCCTGCCTCTATGGCAGACAGTTTCCCTCTTACTCTTACTCTTCTTATGGGCATTATGGTTTGATATACAGATACTGAGAGGTCATCATGTTTGGTCCTTTGTCTACTTTTAGCACACATCTCATCTGCCACCCTGAGTGATCCCTCCAACCATCACCGACTTAGAGATCTCTTCTCTATCCCAGCTGTCTTCTGTCCCAGATCATAAGGCAGGCTTCCAATTGTGAAACAATCTTCCTTGCTCTGTCTCTACCATCCTTGGGTATTGATCTCATATTATGGTATTTTATATTCCACAAATGAGTGCAATCGTTCTAGGTCTGTCCCTCTCTTTCTGAATCATTTCACTTAGCATGACACTCTCCATGACCATCCACTTACAAGCAAATTTCATGACTTCATCTTTCCTAACAGCTACAATAGTATTCCATTGTGTAGATGTACCAAAGTTTCTTTAAGCATTTCTTGGGCACTTGGGTTGTTTTCAGATTCTGGCTATTGTGAACAATGCTGCAATGAACATACAGGGGCAGATGTCATTTCTACTGTGCTTTTTTAGCACCATTGAGAGATATTCCCAAAAGTGGTATTGCAGGGTCATATAGTAGCTGAATTTCTACTTTTTTAAGGACTGTCCATATTGTTTTTCAGAAAGGCTGGACCAGTCAGCATTCCCACAGTGAAAGTGAGTCACTTTCTCCCGAGGTCCATGCCAGTACTGACTGTTCTTGCTCTTTTTTACATCTGCCAGTCTCTGTAGTATGAGATGATATCTCATTGTTGGAAAAACTCTGACTTTAAAGATCATGACTTATTCATATTTGTACCCACAACTCTGAGTGACAGACACCCCAGTCACTCAAAATAGTAGCTGAGCTGATTGTTCATTACTAAAGCAAAAATCTATTTTTATAGTTTAAAAAGACTTATAAGAAATGTTACAATAATAAAGAAAAAATACTTCAAATATTATTACGGAACTTATTCTCAAATAATCACTAAAATTAAAATTTTACAAAAAAACTACAAATAAATTTTATTGGACATAAATATTTGCATATCATCACTGAAATTAAAATTTTTGCTCAAAAGCTCATTATATTTCAGGGTACCAAAAAGTACAATTTTGTTCCACTTGATCCTCAACAATGAAAGTTAATTTTTAATTATCCTCAGAAAATCAGTCTGGGGATTCATTCATCCAACAGCAAAATAATAAGCTAATACAATGCTTCCAGATTGGAAGCATTCTGGGACTGGGCTGAATCCATTAGGAACATGGAAACAGAACTCCATATGAAGTACATACAGAATTTATCAAAAGCAATGAACACAGAGCTTAGCTGAAACTTAAGCTCTCTTTGCCTAGAGTTCTTCGGAAGTAAAACCAAAGCTATCATCATAATACAGCTAATCTTTGATTTATGGATATACTTACAGATCCTCGGAGAAACAAAATTGGAACCCCAATTCCAAATTTTTCTCCTAAAATGTTCACAGCAGATAATAACTGGAATGCTTGTGGACCAAAGTCCTGTAGAGTCTCCTCTGTATCATCAATTGCAAGGCAAGGATTTAATCTAAATAAAAACAATATATAAGAAGGATTTTTTATTTTTATTTTTTATTAAATCACTATGAGCTACAGTTACAAAACGTTCCTGTTTGAGTTTCAGTCATACAATGACCAAACACCCTTCCCTCCAGCAGTGTAAATTTTCTGCCACCAATGTCCCAAGTGTCCCTCCCCTCTCTGCCCCACTCCTCTCCCTGCCTCTATGGCAGACAATTTCCCTTTTATTCTCTCCCTACTTACAGGTATTATGGTCTGCAATACAGATAGTGAGAGGTCATCCTGTTTGGTCCTTTATCTACTTTCAGCACACATCTCCCATCCCGAGCTATCCCTCCAACCATCATTGACTCAGTGATCCCTTCTCTAAAGAAGGATTCTGAGTCCAAGCACCAAGCTTCAGAAACAACTGAATAGTTATTTTTAGTCTTTGTGATATTTGCCAGTCTCACTGGTGTGCGGTGATATCTTGCATGGATTTGTATTTCCCTTATACGTGATGTAGAGCATTATTTTATATACCACTTGGCTATCCGTGTCTTTTTTTGAGGAAGATTCTGTTCCATCCCAGCATCGCATGGCCCCTGAGCACCGAGTACAGAACTCATGGCTTCTGAACACCCTGAGGTTCCTAGAACCTCAGCGCCCAAAAACACTATATCACTGCTCAAGCACCTAATCATCAAGTCTATACAGACAGGCTGAGAAGAGGAGGCAGTGAATCCCAGCCCAAAACAGCATCCTTGGGGAGGAATACACACACATACACACACACATTGCAACTACTTCAGAAACTACAAAATATTAAAAAAGATCACATCCAAAAGCAAGTGAAATATATGAAATATGAAATACACACTATACTACTTAATGGGCATATTTTGTTGATTAGGGCTGGAGCGACAGCACAATGGTAGGGCGTTTGCCTTACATGCAGTCAACATGGCCGACCCAGGTTCGATTCCTCCGCCCCTCTCGGAGAGCCCGGCAAGCTACCGAGAGATCTCACCCACATGGCAAAGCCTGGCAAGCTTCCCATGATGCATTCGATATGCCAAACACAGTAACAACAAATTCTCCAATGGAGACGTTACTGGGCCCACTCGAGCAAATCGATGAACAACGGGAGGACAGTTGTGCAAGACTTGTTACTGTTTATTTGGCACACTAAATACGTCACAAGGAGCTTGCTAGGCTTTGCCATGCAGGCAAAATACTCTTGGTAGCTTGCTGGGCTCTCCAAGAGGGGCAAAGGAATCGAACCCGGATAGGCCGCACTGGAGTGATAAAACAGTGGGTAAGGCCTTTGCCTTGCACGCGGCCATGGTTGACCTAGATTGGATTCCTTTGCCCCTCTCGGAGAGCCCAGCAAGCTAGAGAATATCTTGCCCTCAGGGCAAAGCCTGGCATGCTCCCTGTGACGTATTCAATAATGCCCAAAATGGTAACAAGTCTCACAATTTGTTGTGAGACGTTACTTGTGCTTGCTCAAGCAAATCGATAAACAACGGGAGGACAGTGCTACAGAGCTACAGTGGTTGTGCGAGTAGTACCCTATAACAAGAAAGTCGGCACATGAGAACATGGAGGAAGAGAAAATTTCAAACAAGCATAGAATCAGAGCAGGGTACCAGCTAAAATAGCCCCCCTTGATCAATATTTATAAATTTTAGGCATTTGTGCTCAGTTTTAGTAGAAGAAAAGATTTGTATAAAAATATTTTTTACCTAAAAACATTCCAGTAATTCCAGTAGGCAGGGGTCACACCCACCAACTGGCCTCCTGGCACCGTGTAATCCCATCAACGGCCAAGACTCAGAGACTATAAAACCCAGCTCCCAGAAGAGAACAGTGCAGAATCTCCTGCCCTCGCACTTGGCTGTCCTTGCCGGGGCGGGTCCCTTGGAGGGGAGCGGGTTGAGTTTTCCTCCCCGCCCCGACCAGGGCTCCGGCAGCGGAAGACCTCCAGGACCAGCCACCACCATGCTGAGACCACTCTCCGCACACATGAAGGTACCGGCAGAGGAACAAAGGCACGCGGGTCCCGGGGCTGAGATCTCCAAGTCTGCTCGGATCGGGGCTGAGCATCCTCCACCCAGATCCTCCAAATTCCAGTAGGCGGGGGTCACACCCACCAACTGGCCCCCTGGCGCCATGTAATCCCATCAATGGCCAAGAATCAGAGACTATAAAACCCAGCTCCCGGACATCTTACTATCTCATTCCTACTGTGGACAACCTGGCAGGCTATCGAATGTAACCCACCCACACGGCAGAGTCTGGCAAAGTCCCCATGGCGTACCCAATATGCCAAATACCAGTAACAATGAAGGGTCTCATTTTCCTAACTATGAAAGAGCCTTGAATATGGCACTTTTTAAAAAAATCTCAGGGCTAGGACGAAGGAGATGTTACTGGGGCCTGCTCGAGGCAATCGTCAAATAACAAGATGGTTGTGATTGTTGTGATTGTGACCTAAAAACAACTCTCCTATGCAAGAAATAATATGGCACACTGAAAGTATAGACCGAACATGACTGCCACCCAATGTCTCTTTTGCAAACCACAGCACCCAAAAGGAGAGAGCGAACAAAAGGGAGTGCCCTGCCACAGAGGCAGAGTGGGATGGGGGGATGGGGGGTGGGAGGGATACTGGGAGCACTGGAGGTAGAGAATGGGCACTGGTGGAGGAATGGGTACTTGATCATTGTATAACTGAAACCCAAGCACAAAAGTTTGTAAGTCTACAACTGTACCTCATGGTGTTTCACTTAAATAAAAAAAAAAGAAAAAAAGAAAGAAATAGTATGGCAGGAAGAAGACTATGTTTAGATATATTTTTCTATTCTAACTTCTTCAATAAAATAGTTAGCTCATTAATTTTCTTTTTCTAATATGACTATTTAAAACTGCCAAATTTCCACAAAGTATTACACACCGTTTTGTAAGTTTTGTGTGCATTATTGCAATTATGACTAAGTTCTAAAGATGTTTTAATTTCCAGCTTGATTTTTTCTTTGAAGATTTACTTAAAGTAACTTCCAAATGAATAAGAATCTTGTGTTTAAGCCCTTCTTATCATTTAACTGCATTGTAGTAAAAAATTGTGAAATTTTTACTGAGAGTAAAAAATTTTGAAATACTTGTGTACAGAATAAGGGTACTTTTGTTTTTGAGCCATACCCTGATGTGCTTAGGGCTTATTCCTGGCTCTGTGCTCTAGGCTTTGGGGACTATACATAGTGACAATGATGGATCCCAGATCAACTGTGTTCATTCATGAACAGAAACTTCCTCAAAAAAGACACAGATAGCCAAAAGGTATATAAAATAATGCTCTACATCACCTAGCAGGAAAATACAAATCAAAACAACAACAAGATCACCACATATCAGTGAGACCAGCAAACATCACAAAGAATAAAAATAACTAGCATTGGCTGGCTTGAATGTGGGGAAAAAAAGGGACCCTTATTCACTGCTCGTGGAAATACTGACTCATCCAGACTTTTTAGAAAAAAATATGGACACTTCTCAAAAAACTAAGAATTGAACTTCTATGACCCAGCAATTCCAAATTTGGGTTTCTACTCCAAGAGCCAAAAAATTTTAAAAAAATCTATTCAAAAAAGACACCTGTACTCCTACATTCATCGGAGCACTGTTCACAATAACCAAAATCTGGAAATAGCCCAAGCAAGAACAGATGACTGGTTAAAAAAACTATAGTATATCTACACAATGGAATACCACTCAGCTAGAAGAAGAAATCATGGGTTTGGAGAATATCATGCTGAGTGAAGCCAGACAGAAAGAGAGGGTGACACAGAATAATTTGTCTCATATATAGAATATAAAGAAGAAAAAAAAACGGGGTATAAAAAATACCCAAAAGAAAAAGAAACCGAGAACTTGTCTTCAGTAGGAAGCTTACCATGTGGAAAGGCAGAAGGGTCAGGAGGGGAGGGGACACGGGATGATGATGGAGAGAAATGGAATGCCCTGGAGGAGGGTGTGCTGCTAGACTGAGCTATGCATAAAGCCCTATCATTAACAGTACTGTAAGCCACAGTGTCTAAAATAAAACCTTAAAACAAACAAACAAACAAAACACCTGTTTTGGAGGAGGGGCAAGAGGAGGAGACCTCACGAAGTTTAGGAAGCACTCGAAGTGATACCCAAAGGAGATTAAAATGGCTACACCCAGTGGTCTGGAAGTTATAAAGTGCCAAGACTGAACGCAGATCCCTGAGCAAGCAAGGCAGTGCCCCCAGTCACTGGGCAATCTCTTGGGCCCAGAAAATCTTTTCTATAAAAGACCAGGCAGTATGTAGTGGAGGCTTTGTAAGTCATATATCTGTTTACAATTACTAAGTTCTGTAAAAACTGCCACAAACAACACAAAAGGCACAGTTGTGCTCCAAGTGACTTTATTCCTAGAAACGCAGGCAAATGGATTAGGCCAGTTTGTCAATTCTCTATTCAGTTTTCTTACAATTTCTCATGTATGCTTGTGAAGTCTTTTGCGTAAATGGATGACACTAGAGGCTAGCATGCTGAGTGAAGTCAGTCAGAAGGGAAGGGATAGGTACTGAACGATCTCTCTGACATGTGGGACTTAAAGATACACAGTCAAATAGCAGCAAAGGTACAAAGGCAACATGAGAACTGACTGACACAACTGAGTAGGTAGTGTGAGAGTGTGTGTGTGGGGGGGTGGTAATATGATTAAAAAAGAGAGAGGAGGGGCACTGAAATTCTGGGAGGTAGGAACACTGGGATGGCTGTGGTATTGAAATTATATGCAAGAGAAATCATTTTTAACAGTATCTCAATACTGTTAACATTATACTCTCAAAATATTTTTTTAAAGATACACTGCTCTTGGGGCTGGAGTGATAGCACAGTGGGTAGGGTGTTTGCCTTGCACACAGCCCAACTCGGGTTCGATTCCCAGCATCCCATATGGTCCCCTGAGCACAGCCAGGAGTAATTCCTGAGTGCATGAACCTGGAATAACCCCTGTGTATCACTGGGTGTGACCAAAAAAAAAAAAAAAAGATACACTGCTCTGCCTCATACAGAGTTCTATATAGTACGTGTTGAGAAAATTTTGAGAAAAATTGAGAAAATTTTTCTACAGCTCCCTAATTAGTAGTTTAATCTACAATGAACTAAAACTTCCAACAAACTCTCCCGCATTTATGGTGAATTTGTTGATTCCTTTCAGGTGGTCTGTCAATTTGTGTTTTATATATCTGTAAAGTATGTTAATTTTGTGTGAGAACAACTCTATCCCCTTAGAAAAAGAACTATTTATCACTGTTAAGAGATTATCTATTAATGCTTCTCTTGTTACTAGATCTATGACACCTACAAGCACAGTTAACCCAGTTAAATATAAAGCTTTTGTTATTTGCATTTTTTCAATTAATTTCTAAATTTTCCTCTCAGTAACTTGCCAATCCACAACCCCACTTATTTCATACTTTCATTTTATTTCATTTCATTCATCCACTCAACCCCACTTACTTCATACTTTCATTTCATTCCGTTTCAAATATTTTCTAATATACCATGAGATTTACTAGATTATTTAGTAGCTATTTGTGTGTTGGGACTTTGTTTTCTCTCTGGTTACTGGTTTCTGATTTCATTTCTTTATAATAAGAAGAAAAATATTTTACATGAATATCACTTAAAATTTCTTAAAGGATTGTTTTGTGGCCCAGAATATGGTCTATTTTTCACGAAGGCTATCCATCTATCACTGAAAAAAAAAATGTATTCTGCTTTTGTTGTTTGAAGAGATCTTTACCAGGCAATTAAATCCAGTCTACTGATAGCTCTGTTCTTTTCTATCTTCTTATCAACTGCCTACTGATTTTATTAATTACCTAAAGATGATGCTGAAGTCATCGTGATGCTGTAATCCTTTTTTTTTTTTTTTTTTTTTTTTTGCTTTTTGGGTCACATCCAGCGATGCACAGAAGTTACTCCTGGCTCTGTACTCAGGAATTACTCCTGAAGAATTCCACTGGCGGTGCTCAGTGGAACATATGGGATGCTGGGATTCGAATCCGGTTGGTTGTGTGCAAGGCAAACACCCTACCTGCTGTGCTATCACTCCAGTCCTGATGCTATAATCTTTTGAGGTAAGAGTCCATTATTTTAAAATGACTGAAGTTTACTAGAGAGCAAGAAACTGTGACCCACGAATACACAGAAATCCTGTCCGACACTCCTGCCTTCTCCCCCAACAAGGTTTGTCAATCTACACAACTGCATCTGTGTGTGTGCTCATGTGCATGAGTGTGTCTGTGTATGGATTTCTCTAAAAAACTATTCACATGTTGATAAATCAACCTTTCACCATCCCGTAATGTTCTGGAGGCCCAAGCACCACCAAGGTGTGCTGGGTAATTCCTGGCACTAAGGGTCAGCAGCACTAACTCCTAGACCCTCACATTCAACCTCCAAGAACACCTAGAAGGAGGCACCAGGCCTCCTGCCCAGGTGTACAAGGGCCCCAAAACTCCAGGTTTATTTAATCAGTGTTTTCGTGGCATGTAGTTTTTACCTTTTTATTTTAAACTTTCCTACATAATTGTATCTGTAGTTTTTTTGAGCAACTGTGTACAACATATAGTTAAAGTGTATTTTTAAATCACTTAACAATCTGTGCCTTCACACAGAATGTTTTTTAGATGATTTGCATTTAATATAGCTATTGAAAATATTAGACTTAATCTGAGTACTTTATTCATTTATCTATTTCACTGTCACTGTCACTGTCCTCCCGTTGTTCATCGATTTGCTCGAGCGGGCCCAGTAACACCTCCATTTTGAGACTTGTTACTGTGTTTGGCATACTGAATACGTCACGGGTAGCTTGCCAGGCTTTGCCATGCGGGCGAGATAGCTTGCCAGGCTCTCCAAAAGGGACAGAGGAATTGAACCTGGCTCAGACAGGCTGGCTGTGTGCAAGGCAAATGAGCTACTGCTGTGCTATCGCTATTTACAAAGCAAAAATACTTTTTGCCTTTATCTTCTGCTTAAATAAACAAATCAATTGTTTTTTAATTGCAAAACATGTCTGGTAACAAAAAATCATTTAAAATCTATCGAAAAGAAAACAAAGGCATTCAGAATTATCTATTTGCAAAAAGCAATCTTTACCTGGATCTGCAATTATCACAGCATTTTTCAGTTCCCATAATACCCAAGGAGGCTTTTCGTAGTTGTTTATCTTCAAAATGAGACAAGATGATTCTACCCAAGAGAAAATTTTAAATTAAATAAAAGAACAAAAACATATATGTTAAATTCATTGCTGAAAATAATGAGATAAAATCATCATTAATTGATTCACCTGAGATCTCATTATTTGGCTTTAGTATTTAAAAACAATTTCAGCACATACCTAACATTAGCAAAATATTGCTCCTAAATACTTCTGTTTTACAAACATTTTTCTCCTAAAAGATCAGCATCTGTAGAGGCTGGAGCAATAGTACAGCAGGCAAGACATGTGCCTTGCAAGCAGCAGACCCAGGCATCCCATATGGTCCCTGGCATCCCACAGGGTCCCCTGACCAACCAGCCCCAGGAGTGATCCTTGAGCAAAGAGCCTGGAGTAAACACCACGAGTATGGCCCCAAAACAAAACAACAACAACAAATCACCTTCTATATATTCATGTTACCTGGTGAAATAAAAAAAGTAATACATACTGTCGCCTACACTTGCTGGAATAAAGGTATTTTCTCATCTTTGCCATCATCTTTAATTTGTATAATCGAAACTGTTCATTTTTTATCTCATTAAGGCGGTTCCTGTCAATTAGAAATATCAGAGAAATACATAACATTGTATTAATGGTATTATCACTTTTCATTTATTACTTTTTATTTTTTAAAACCTGTCACATCCACAAACCTTAGTTATTATGTCCTCTTCCAGAAAGTCAATGACTTCCAAAAGAGACAAGCATTTTTATGACTATTATTAAAATTATTTTTCAAAGAACTCTACCTGATATTCAAATCAGTTTTTTATAAGCCCTGAAAAAAATTGTAAACTCCATTTTTTCAATTTTATTACATATTATATGCTTTGACTAATATTTTATTATATATGAATTTCCACCATCTCTCAATAAAAAGGAATTATTTTACATTAAAATAATGTGTCCCAACTATGTAAATAATACTGAGACCAAAACATAAATAGGACCCTTCATCCCCATTAGCTGTTCAGATATCTTCTCAACCCTCAAAATCTACCTCCCTGCCTAATAAGGATATCACAGAATACCAGTAAAGAAAGTCTCTTCTTCAATTATTATTTACTTTTTCACTGTACTGAATTTATTTTAAACAGTCAAAAAACACTAGAGATGTTTGCTTTTTCTAACAAGTGAGCACTGATACAACTCACTGTGTCCCTATTGTTTTTTGTCAAGAAATTCAGTGAGTACCACATATCCAAAGACAATCTCTCAAACAGTTTTGTATATCCTTTCAAGAATAAACAAAGGTGTGAGCTGAGCAGGTTCCAGCTACTTCTACAGAAAACAATGCCTTCCCTGTGATAATTAGGTGACACTACTCTTTATCAAAATAACATTCTGATCATTCAACCTTCTGATAACAATATTCCGTGGAACTCTAAAAGTTTAGAACTCTAAAACACCAGTGGGGAGCAACATTTAAGAAAGTTTTGGAAAGCTGTGTTTTGCTTTTTCTTTTCATTTTGTTTAATTTTAGGGCCATGCCCTATAAAGAGCCCTGGATTTGATCCCTGAGTCCCACATAATGATGCGAAGCCTGGGCTCCAGCTCTCTGATCTCTCTACAGCCAGTTTTGGAAAATCTTCGCACAGGGGAGCTCTTAGTCAAGACATTCTTGTCACCTGACACCAACTACCATGAAACTGCATGTACTTCTTCTCCAACTCTCTTGCAACTATTGATTTTAATTCCTAGATTTAACCATCTGAACTCAATTTTCTTACCTCGTGGAATAAAAATTATATCTTTTGGCTTTGTTTCTTGATTTAGCTCACATTCTCCTCAAATAGAAACAACAAAGAAACAAATACACTGGAAGAACTAGATCCTCTCTCACATTCAGCTAAGATGACCCATATTTAACTTATCTCATTAATGTAAGGTTTTTTTTTAAATTACAATGTCTCTTAGCAGGAAATCAAAATGAATATTTATTCTTCTGTGGGGACTATTAAACTTGCTAAAGCATGATATTCTACAGAATAAAAATGAGTGAATCAGAAAAAGCATTCCAAAAATAATACCATATATCAAAATCAGCTGAAGCCTGAAAAGTGAATTTTTATCTTATAGGGTATTCCTTTAAAATAAAAAGTATCTTTTTATATTAGATTTGACTGTCTAAATCATAGCAATTGCAAACTCTGAGGCTTTGCTTCTATGATAAAAAATGTTAAATTGTGCAATACATTGATGATTTGAACCACTCTGAACAAACTCAATCCTCAAATTCCCAGAGAAGAAGGCTATAAAACCTTTTGGATTACAACAACATTCTCAGTTGAGAGTCAGCAATTTCATTTAGTCTAAAACTCTTTTATCTAACTGAAGTTTTTGAAAAGGATGACACAACCGTTACCAATTCTTTTTAAATCTAATTAAGCATATAGTTCACTTCTCATAAAATGATATGTGTGAAGAATTACTTGTCTAGACCAAACATTCAGTGTCAGCTTCCCAGCACCAATATTGGACACCTGATCTCTGTTCTTCCTGTTAAATCTCAATGAGACAACCATTTAAAATCTCTTTTGAGGAGCTGGGAGATAGCTCAAAGGGCTGGAGTAAATGTCTGCATGTAAAAGGTTTGATCCCTATAATCGTATACTCTCCACTCCAGCATCACTAGACATAGACTTAATAGCCTCCAGCACGACTGGGTGTGTCCAGAAGGACCCATATGTACCAAAATGGCTCTAGGCCCAGTGGGCCTACACACCAAAACCATCAAACCCGCACCATCAGGAGGAGTACCCTAGTGGCTCCCAGGACCCCCCAGTAAAATAGAAAATAAACATCTTTTGAGACCCAAAGCAGTAACTGTATCAACTGAATGTTGCCTAGCCACAATCTAAAACTCAGGATGCTAGGTATTCAGTGCATTTAACGTCATGTATAAAACATCATGTATAAAAGCAAGACTGGTAGGAATCGATTTATGTTTAATAGTCATATATTTAAGAGCAGTATGAACAGCTCTGTGTTATTCCAATGATTTTAATTTCAATCACTTGAATCACTTGATATCCCGTTACTCATCAATTTGCTTGAGCGGGCGCCAGTAACGTCTCCATTTGTACCTGTTGCATGCTAGTGTAGCCCAATGGCATCTGCTCATTCTAGGAAAACGAAGAGCCTCAAACCGTTCAGGGTATTGACAAAGAAGCCTGACCATCTCATAGATGGGCGGCTACATGATCTTTTGACGTCCCGTGGAATCCAGTCAGTAATATCTCTAGTCCAGCAGTCATCTCCAAATCTCATTCAGTGTCCAGCCCATCTGATTTTCGACACCTTAGCAAAGGAGACAGCGTCCCTGATTCTTGAGCGTTAATGGAGGTCGGAACTCCGGATTCTTTCTCTCATTTGAGTGAAGTGTGATACTCCAAGCATAGCTCTTTCGATTCCTTCTTGAAAGACCTGCATAGAGTTCTCATCCTGTTTTCCTAGGGCCCAGGTCTCTGAGGCGTATGTTAACGCAGAAAGACTGGTGGAGTTGAAGAGATGTGCCTGGAACTGGAGGTTCTTCGTCCTCTTAGCTATTTTTTTTTTTTGATGCTCTCGAAGGCATTCCAAGTAGCTCTCTTCCTTCTGCGCAACTCAGGTGCCAGGTCATTCATCATGTTGAATTCTTGACCTAGGTACACATAACTGTTGCAATTAGAGATGTTCGTTCCATTGAGAGTGAATGGAACGTCAGGAACAAGACTGTTTCTCATGAACACTGTCTTTGTGAGATTCAACTGTAATACGACCTTTCCACACTCACGGCCGAAGTTGGCCAGCATTTGTGCCACTTGGCTAACGGTTGGTATTATTAGAACGATGGCATCAGCAAAGCAGAGGTGGTTTAGTTGCCGACCATCTATCTTCACTCCCATTCCTTCCCATACCAGTCAACACATGACGTTCTCGAGGGTGGCACTGAAAAGTTTCGGTGAAATGGTATCACCCTGCCAAACCCCTCTCTTGACATGAATGATCACTTCGTTGTAGAATGGTGAGATCCTGGTAGTGAATCCATTATAGCTCACAGATGATCCTGATGTACTGAGTTTGAATGCCCTGATTGGCTAGGGCTTGGATGACTGTTTCCATCTCAACAGAATCAAAGGCCTTCTTTAAATCAATGAACGTTAGACAGAGCGGCATCTTGAACTCCTGAGAAACCTCAATGAGCTTGGTTATCATGCGGATATGGTTGATCGTACTGAAACCTTTTCGGAACCTGGCTTGCTTGCATGGTTGTCCTTCATCTAGTGTTCTGCCAGTTCAGGATGACTCGAGTGAATAGCTTGTAGACGACAGACAAAAGGGAGATCAGGCAATAGTTGCCAAGTCGTGGATGTCTCCCTTCTTGTACAGTAGTACAGTCCTGCTGGTTTTCCATTGGGACGAAACCTTGTATTCAGACAGGTAGCTTGTGAAGAGCCGAGCCAGTGTACTGATGAGTATTGATGGTAGTTCTTCAGGTGTTCAGGTCTGACCTTGTCTGGGCCAGGTGCTCTTCGTTTCTTTATCAACGAGATGGCCTGTCGAATTTCAGAAGGGAGAACATTGGGAACGACATATCCATCCTGCGGAATTTGGTATGTGGGCAGGTGGACGAGGCTATCAAAGAGATCTGAGTAGAAGTCATGAATAATGTTCTCCATTGCCCTTCTGGAAGATGTGATAGATCCATCAGGATGTCAGAGGGCAGTCATCTTGGTCTTGTAGTTGGCGAAGGACAGGCGGGACTTACGAATGCTTTTTGTGGTTTTTTCCGCATCTACTAGCACTGCTGCTCTTCTGTCTTTGAGGTCTTCCTTGACCGCTTCTCTGCACTGCTTTGCGAGCTCGGACGTTCCCTTGCGGTTGCCTGAGGCATGCGCCAAGCCACCTTGGCGAATAAGCTCAAGAGTTTTCAAAAGTAGACTATAGACCAAACATGATTGCCACTCAGTGCCTCTTTTGCAAACCACAACACCCAAAAGTAGAGAGAGAACAGAGGGGAATGCCCTGCCACAAAGGCAGGGTGGGATGGGGGGGTTAAAGAAATTTTGGTACATTTACCCAATGGAACACTATGCAGCAGTTACAAAGGATAAAGTCATGAAATTTGCAAACATGTGGTTCTACATGGAAAGTATCATGCTAAGTGAAATGAACCATAAAGAGAGGGTCAGACATAGAAAGACTGCACTCATCTGGGGAATATAATGTAACAGAATGGGAGACGAACACCCAAGAATAGTTGAGAAAAGTACCAGGAGGTCTTCTCCACAGCTTGGAAGCCGGCAGCACATGCTGGGGGAAAAGGCAGCTCAGACAGAGAAAGGAACACCAAGTAAATAATGTTTGGAGGATTTGTTCAGGATGAGAGATGCGTGATGAAAGTAGACTATAGACCGAACACGATGGCCACTCAATACCTCTATTACAAAGCACAATACCCTAAAGGAAAGAGAGAGCAAAAGGGAATGTCCTGCCACAAAGACGAAGCGGGATAGCGGGGATGGGGTGGGGGGTGGGAGGGCTACTGGGATCGTCGTTAGTGTAGAATGGGCACTGGTGGAGGGATGGGTACTCGATCATTTTATAAGTGAAACCCCAGCATGAAAGTTTGTAAGTCTACAACTGTACCTCATGGTGTTTCACTAATAAAAAAAAATAAAGAAATAATTTAAATATATATATATACATAAATCATTACTGACTTGTCTAAATTGGTAAACACTACATTCCCATTATTTACACTTACTACTCAATATAATTTTCTTTCATAGTATTTAATAGTCGTAATTTGTGCATATATTTGCATGACTTTAAAAAATCCACTAAAATTTTCATTCACAAAAAGATAAAAAAATTAATTCTTGTATGTATAGATTGTGATTCTGACTAATATCTGCCATCCTCATTACAATCCTGTAATCTCTATGGAAATAGGCATAAAATACTTGCTTTTATTTGCCATTTTATTCCCAGCAAAGCGTATAATGCTTTGAATACAGAAAGCACTCAAAAAACAGTAACAATGATAAACGACATGCAAAATTATAGTAGATAATCTTGTCAGTTTAATAAAATTGGACGGTATGTGTATCCAAGAGCTCAATTTGCTCAGCAACATTCTAGTGCACTTTGAAAATACCTCATTTCAGTGGGCCTATCAACTGCTTGTTTCCCTGCGATTGTTATGTCCTGTTTTTCTTTTGGGGTCACACCCAATGGTGCTCAGGGGTTACTCCGAGCAGCTGTTCAACAGTCCATGCACCAACAGAGACAGAACCCAGGGCTCCGCAAAACGCGTGCACTCACCCTTGCATTTTGAGCTTTCAAAGCTGAGAAATGGTTCCTGAAAATGAAGAAATCTGTAGCTAAAGCCTCCCCAAATGATTCTGGCAAGATATTTTCTTTTTCGATATAAATATCATGGAAGCGTCAACAAAATATTTGCTTCAGGGGTAAGCTGTTTGCCTTTCATGCAGCTGAGCCCAGTTCTATTGCTGGGATTATATGGTTCTCAAACCATCGCCAGGGCAAGTGCAACCTCAAATTCCGCTCCTCCCCTCCCCACCCCGGCCAAAAGAGTCTGCTTAGTGCTGAAACAGAATGAGTTTCCCCATACTTAACACCAAACACAATCTTTTTTTCCATGGCAGTCAATTAGTACAGAGCAGTATGACTAATCACTCTTGGTCAAAAACAGCTGGCTTCGTGGAGAAAAAAGGAAACAAATGGTAAAAAGAACCAGATAAAGCCTGGAAGAAGTCATTTAATATATTAATAACAATTTATAACAAAATAATCGATGAAATTAAAATAACAAATTAATAACAAAATAAGTGGCATAAGAAATAACTATGGCTGAGCATATATCAGAGAAAAATGCACCACACTGGCAAAATATTCCATGGAATCTATGTTATGGTTCCATTATGGGACTAAGTTACAATTTTACGCTAAATAAGATACGACTGAAAGAAGGTTGTCACCTCTGGGCATCAACACAACCACAGCTGTTGTTTTCACATGTTCTCTATGCTGTTTTGGCTTTAGATGCATGTGTATACATTTGCCTTTAAATGCATCGGTGCAAAATTTTTATGTTACCCGCCCAATACTTTCAAACAAACAGAAGGAAATCTGTACAGGTAAAAGCAAAAAGTCTTTACCAATTTAAAGCAATGTCTGCTGGAGCCCAGAGCAAGTGGCAGGAACTTGGAAGCCCATCTCGACCAGCTCTACCAATCTCCTGGTAATATGATTCCATTTCCTTAGGAGCACCATAATGAATGACTCTGCGAATGTCAGCTTTATTAATTCCCATTCCAAAAGCTATGGTAGCTACGATGCACTAAGAAAGAAAATAACACAGCTTGACAAATTTTGCAAAACTAAACATCTTTTATTTGGTTAGAATAATTAACTAATTTCCCTACAATAAAACTGAATTTAATGAAATTTTATTGATCACTTATAGATGAAAATATTATCAACAAAATTTGCAAAGATTGGTCACCAGAAAATAGGGTTTCTATCAATATAAAAATTAGAAAATAAAATAAATTCTGTCTATGAATATAAGATATCAAATTTAAATGTTTATTATATTGCATATTGACTATTACACATCAAGAGCCTTAGCCCAATATGAAGATACTGATTTCACAATACTTTAATATTTTCAAATTATTATTCTATAATGGATGGGAGTAGCTCATTAAAGAGGTAGAATGAAAAATGAATTTGCCTTTGTATCTTTTAAAATTTATTTTGGGAGGAGGAGATGTGGACCATCCCAGGTGGTGCACAGGGACTACTCCTGGCTCTGTGCTCTAGGGTCACTCCTGGTTGTGCTAGGGGGACCATATGCAGTGCCAGAAACTGTACTGAACCCAGGGTCAGTCACAAATAAGGCAAGCCTTAGCCCCTGAACTATCACTCCAGCCCCTGTCTCTGCATTTAAAAAAATATGTATCTGGTTTTAAATATGTATCTAGCATATATAAAAACACTGGGATTATGTTTCAATGATAAGAGTAATTTAGGAAAGAATTAGTGATAAGTACAAATGCAAAATTCTTTAAAGATATCAATAATACAGGGGCTGGAGCAACAGCACAATGCGTAGGGCATTTGCCTTGCATGCAGCCTACCCAGGTTTGATTCACAGCATCCCATATGGTTCCCTGAGAACCGCCAGGGGTAATTCCCAAGTACAGAGCCAGAGTAACCCCTGTGCATTGCCAGATGTGACCCAAAAAGCACAAAAAAAATAAAATAAAATAGAAAAGATATCAGTAATACAGACACAAAAGTACAAGAAAATTAACTATGTAGCTTATGAGTAAAACACATGAAAAACATTTATAAGTATATTTTAATATACTTCTTTTTGAATATATATTGAATACATATGAATACATGTTGGCTATATATTTTATTAATATCATAGCTCAATTATGATACTAGTAATGGGAGAAAAAGGGGTAGGAAATGCCTGTATAAAGAGAAGAGCGCAAGACTGGTGTGATAGCACAGCGAGTAGGGCATATGCACACAGCTGACCCAGATTCAATCCCCAGCATCCCATATGGTCTCCTGAGCACTGCCAGGAGTAATTCCTGTGTGCAGAGCCAGGTGTGACCCAAAAAGAAAAAAAAAGAAAAAGAAAAAGAAACTGAAGAGAAGAGAGCCTGAAGAAATGTGAAGGCTAAACTTTCATCTCTCATAAACAGGAAATCAACAGATAATCCTGAAAATGAATAAGCAAATAAGACACAAAATAATATCAATATAAACAAATTACTTCAAGATACTGTGGTACCCTTAAAAGAACAGACTAAAAGAGTTGAGAACAAAAAACAGAAATGCAGAAGAAATGAGGAAAGGCACTTTTACATTAAACAATACAGAATAACTTCATTCTTTGGATTATGAACATGAATAAAAAGGCTAAAAAAATTTAGTACCATTGAAAACATATCGAGAGCTGCAGGAACAGCTTTGGGGACAGAAGCAGCTGCATGGATCTTTGGCGAGTTTCTAGGAGGCAACTGAATGGGATTCAAATGTATGGAACTCTGCTATATCCCACGCACAGGTAAACAAGAAGGGCATGGCTTTTCCAGGGGAAACTCCCCCAACATAACGCATAAGATCCATCTCCAAAGTAGCTCCACATAGTTACAAAGGAACACCAAAAGGGAAGGAAATATCCTGGAAGGGGAAAAAAGAGATCACCATCCACAGACTGCCACAGGCACTATGGGAAGAGAGCAAAGAACCCCACCATAGGGCAGAGGGCTGGGGGGGGAATAGGAGAGAAGCCCCAGCATGGAATACTCACATACAAAATCTCTCTGATAAAGAATTCAGAGACGAAATGGGGAGAATGTTCGATGAGCTCAAAGAAACAATGGAATGGACAACCAATAAAATACATGAAGATATGAGAGCAACAATGGAACAAATAGCCAATAAAATACAGGAAGAAATCAGAGCAAAAATAAGCAAACTATAAACAGAAATATCATGAATAAAAAACTCAGTAGATTAAATGAAAAACTCAATGGGTGCCCTCAAAAGTAGAATGACAACAACCAAAGATAGCATCAGTGAGCCTGAAGATGCTCTCCAGAAAGCATATAGGCAACAACAGAAGGTGGAAAAAGACCTCAAAATAGCTCAAAGTCATGTCAAAGGCGTATGCGATGAATTCAAAAGGAACACCAGAATCATCAGAATTAAAAAGAGACAGAAAGCAACAGTTAAAGAAGTCATCGCTGAAAAGTTCCCAAAGCTGGAAAATGAAAGCATCCCGATCCAAGAAGCCCAAAGTGTACCAGCTAAAAAAGACCCCAATAAAAAGACCCCACGACATATCCTAATCAGAACACCAAATATCAGAGACAGAGACAAAATACTGGAAACAGCAAGATCAAGGAAGTAAATTACAAAGGATCGTCCTTTAGATTTACAGCAGACCTATCATATGAAACTCACCAGGCCCAAGGTCAATGGTGGGACATAGCTAAAACTTAATAAAATGGATGCCTCACCAAGAATACTTTACCCAGCTAGATTCTCTTTCAGATTTGAAGGAATCATACATGACTTCATGGATAAACAACAGCTCAGGAACTTCACAGAATCAATACCAACCTTAAAAGATGGACTAAAAGGGCTACTGTAAGGCAAGACAAACTCTACAAACACAACAAATTTCTATAGAATGATGGCACAAAACTCCATGACAATAATCTCTCTCGATGTCAATGGACTAAATAAATCAATTAAGAGTCACAGAATGGCAAAATGTATTAAAAAACTGAATCCAACATTCTGCCGCTTGCAAGAAACACGTTTGAATAGTCAGAGCAAACACAGACTCAAAGTCAAATGCTAGATAACAATTTTTCAAGCAAACAACTCTTTCGAAAAAGTCGGTATGACTATACTAATATCCTAGGACATAGATTTCAGGCTAAAATGGGTTAGAAGGAACAGCAAGGGCTATTTCTTAATAATCAAGGGATATGTACACCAGGAAGAAATTAACACTCCCGAACATACATGCACCCAATGAGGGGTCAGAAAAATACTTAAAACAACTGCACAGCAAAAGCAGTACTAGGAGAGTTTAGAGCTCTGCAAGCATTTCAGGAAGGAAGGAAGGGTCCACATAAACAACTTGACTTCACAGTTTAAGATCTTAGAAAATGACCAACAAAAGGTTCCCAAACCAAGGAGAAGGAAAGAAATACTAAAACTCTGAGCAGAAACTAACAAAACGGAATAAAAAAAAAAAAACAAACCCAATTCAAAAGATCAATGAAATCAAGAGCGTGTTCTTTGAAAAAATAAATAAGGCAAGTCACTAGCAAGACTCACAAAGAAAGAGAGAGAACCCTAATAAAATGAAAGGGGAGACAACACAACAGAAACCACAGAAATTCTAAAGATTATCAGAGATTACTTTGAAATATGTTTGCGGTATGAAACAAGAGAACCTCGTAGAAATGGATATATTTCTGGACTCCTATAACCTCCCTAGGTTGAACCAAGATGATTTAGAGTACCTGACTAGACCTATCACCATTGAGGAAATTGAAATAGTAATCAAAAGTCTTCCCCAAAACAAAAACCCAGGCCCAGATGGATTCACTAGTGAATTCTATGAAACCTTTAAAGAGGCCCTACTGCCAATCCTCTTTAAGCTTTTCCAGGAAATCAAAGAAATAGAAACACTCCAGTTTTATGAGGCAAGTATCACCCTCATACCCAAAGCAGACAGTCACCACAAAAATAGAAAATTACAGACCGATATTCCTGATGAATACAGATGCAAAGATCTTCAACAAAATATTAGCAAATAGAACCCAACGACTCATCAGAAAGATCAAACACCATGATCAAGTAGGATTTATCCCGGGGATGCAAGGAGGATTTAACATTCACAAGTCGATCAACATAATTCATCATATCAATAAAAGAAAAGATAAAAACCATATGATCATATCAATAGACACAGAGAAAGCATTTGACAGGAATCAGCAGCATTCATAATAAAAACTCTCAATAAATGGGTACTGAAGCAAACTTCCCTCAATATAGTAAAAGCCATCTACCACAAGCCCATAAAAAAAACAACAACAACAACAAAAACTAAAAGCTTTCCCTCTAAGATCAGAGACAAGACAAAGATGCCTACTCTAGCCACCTCTATTTAATATAGTACTGGAGGTACTTGCCACAGCTACTAGGCAAGATAAAGATATCAAAGGCATCCAGGTAAGAAAGAAGTCACGCTCTCACTATTTGCAGATGACATGATACTATACTTAGTGAATCCTAAAGACACTACCAAAACGCTCCTAAAAACTATAGATTTATATTGTAGAGTGGCAAGCTACAAAAACAATACCAGAAGTCCCTGGCTTTTCTATATTCAAATAATGAAAGAAAAGAGATAGCGAAAAAAGCAATCGCGTTCTCAATTGTTCCTCAGAAAATCAAGTACTCTGAACCATCTTAACTAAGGAACTAAAGAACCTATATAAAGAAAACTATGAAACGCTACTCCAAGAAATAAAAGAGGACACAAGAAAATGAAGACATATGCCCTGCTAATGGATTGGGAGAATTAACATGGTAAAAATGGCTATACTTCCCAAAGCGTTATATAGATTCAATAAGGATACCCATGACTTTTTTCAAAGAAATAAACCAAACACTCCTGAAATGTATATGGAAGAATAAACCACCACAAGTAGCTAAAGCAATCCTTGGGAAAAATAAGACAGGAGGCATCATCTTCTTCAACTCCAAATTCTACTACAAAGGTGGTAGTGATTAAAAAAGCATGGTAATGGGAAAAATTAGACCTGCAAACCAATAAAATAGCACTGAATATCCTGACACAGATCCCAAAATATATAATCATTTAATCTTTGGTAAGGGAACAAGAAGTATGAGGTGGAGCAAGGAAAGCCTCTTCAATTAACGGTGCTGGGAAAACTGGGCAGCTACATGTAAAACAATGAACTCAGACATTTTGCTAATGCCATGCACAAAAGTTGGATCAAAATGGATTAAAGACTCCAATATCAGACCCGAATTCCTAAGGTACCTGAAAGAAAATGTAGGCAAAACCCTCCATGACATTGAAATTCAAGGCATCTTCAAAGATCAAACACCACTGATGAAGCAAAAGAAAGCAAAGATAAACAAATGGGACTACATGAAACTAAGAAGCTTCTGCATCTCAAAAGAAATGGCGTCTAAGATACATACAAAGCAGCTCATGGAATGGGAAAAATTATTTACCCAATACCCATCTGATACAGGTTAATATCAAAGTTATATAGGACACTGATAGAACTTTACAAAAAAAAAATCTAACCCCATCAAAAAATGGTGAGAGAAATTGAACAGAAACTTTTTTTTTCTTTTTGGGTCACACCCAGCAGTGCTCAGGGGTTACTCCTGGCTCTGCACTCAGGAATTACTCCTGGTGGTGCTTGGGTGACTATACAGGATGCTGAGAATCGAGCCCAGGTCGGTCGCATGCAAGGCAAACACTCTACCTACTGTGCTATCGCTCTAGCCCAAACAGAAACTTTCTCAAAGAAGAAATCCAATGGCCAAAAGGCATGAGAAAAAACGCTCTATACCACTAATTATCAGGCAGATGCAAATTAAAACAATGAGATATCACCTTACACCACAGAGACTGGACACATCCAAAAGAAAACCAACCCGAGTTGGCCCAGATGCGGGGAGAAAGGGACTCTCATTCATTGTTGGTGGGAATGCTGACTGGTCCAGCCTTTTTGGAAAACAATATGGACATTCTTCAAAAAACTTGAAATTGAGCTCCCAATACCTCTCTGGGAATATACCCTTGGAACCCAAAAGCACATAGCAGAAATGTTATCTGCACTTCGATGTTCACTGCAGCACTATTCACAACAGGCGGAATTTGGAAACAACCCAAGTGCCCAAGAACTGATAACTGAATAAAGAAACTATGGTATATCTACACAATGGAATACTATGCAGCTGTTAGAAAAAATGAATTCATGAAATTTGCTTATAAATGGATAGACATGTAGAGCATCGTGTTGAATGAAATGAGTCAGAAAAAGAGGGACAGGTATAGAATAAGTGCATTCATTTATATATACATATATGAATATTTTCTCTCTCTCTCTCTCTCTATATATATATATATATATTGAAACTAATATCCAAGGTGAGGGTAATCAGGTGCCAGGAGGACATGTCAATGGTTGGAAGCTTGCCACAAGAATGAATTGGGGGGGGGAAGGGTGAAGGGCACAGGATGCACCTGATAACCTTTCATTATCTGGACTGCAAACTATAAAGCAGAGAGAGAGAGAGAGAGAGAGAGAGAGCGCACCTGCCACAGTGGCAGGTGATGGGATGGGGCAGGCGGGGGGACATGGGAGGGAAACTGGGAACACTGGTGGTGGGAAAAGTATAATGGTGAAGGGACGGTTGTTGGAATACTATATGAATGAAATCCAATCATAAACAACTTTGTAAATGTGTATTATCACTGTGATTTAATTTTTAAAAACTGGGAAAAAAAATCATATTGAAGAAGTCCAATCACTGATCACTAAGATACAGCAAATGGATTAAATAACCTAATAAACTTTATTTAATAATTTTTAACAAAATCTCTTCATGACAATTGGAGTAATTATCCTATCTTTGGAGAAAAGATGTTTTCATGAAGATGTTGAAAATGTTGATTTAAACCTATCCATGTGGCTTGAGTTGACATCCTCTCAAATGTTCTATCAATAAAACCCAAAGAACCGGGTAATCACTACAATAATCTCAGCGGTAACTCTTCACAGTAATTTCGTTGATACTATCCCTTCAGTACTTCGCTCTCAAATCAGTCCTACTTAGTGCTGAAACCTAATGCTTCCATAATGGTATGATCTTGTTAAAAACAAAAAACTTTGTCATGAGGATTTTCAAATAATATTCTATAGGGTGTTGAGGATTATTAGGAACTCAAAGGAATTATCTTGGAGATAAGAAGACCCTAGAAACCCTTTCTCCTTCACACCAATTTCAACAAGAATTATTCTAATTGAATCTGCTATATATTAGAGAATTTTCACTTAAATTAAAAATCTCCAAGGTACACAGACTGGAAAAAATGACAGGCGTCTAATACTAATTTCTGTCTGCCTCTTTGCAAGTTTTAAGGCCAGGTTAACTGTTTTGTTCTACTTTTTTCTTTTAAGAAACATCCTCTCTCTTTGTTTTAACTATTACAGTACTATGTTATCATTCCAACTTCTTTTTTCCTTCCCACAATCCAAACTATTCATAATTTTCTAAACCAAGGGTGTACTCTAAAAGCACAGAGCCTTTACACCTGCTAGACCTCTTCCTGGAAATCTATGACCAATTCCTTTTCCCTCATCACGTAATTTCCCAGCACACTGGACAAAGTTCTATCCACATGTTCAGATTCTACTCAAACTACATCTTCTAGGATGGGTCATTCCCGATATGCAACCTAATTTAATAACTAGCAATCCTCTGTGCATCTAATCAGTGTGTATAGGAAGCTTTTGTCCTAATCCAAAGCAGTCTATTCACATTATAAAACACACTTCTTTATGCCCAACACACACATAAAGAAGTCAAGAAAAATTTGGCAAATAATTATTAAAGAAATAACCACATCTACGATGGGAATTTGGAGCAATGATAACCGACTCTCATACCTGAATTTCATCTCTCATGAACTTGTGATGCACCTCTTTCCTGGACTTAATACTCATTCCCGCATGGTATGTTTCACAGGCTACCTGCAGCAACCTAAGTTGAGCTGCAACTTGTTCTGTCATTTTTCTAGAAAGACAATAGATGATAGTTGGGCCTTCAAAATTCCACGTAGAACTAGAGGGGGGAAAAAAACACAAAAATATATATTATTCAGACCAGTTTTAGTTTTATCTTATTTTTATTTTTAAAAAAGCTTTAAATTTCAAAGCAGATCAATAGTAGAGTGGGCAGGGCACTCACCTTGCACACAGCCAACTTGGGTTTGATCCCCGGCATCCCATATGGTCCCCCAAACCCACCTGGAGTGATTCCTGAGTATAGATCCAGGAATAAGTTCTCAGCACTGCCAGGTGTGTGGCCCAAAATCAAAAGGAATAATATAACCAAGCATACAGAAAACAATTACAGAGAGATACACTGGGTAAGGTGCTTACCTTGAAGGCAGTGGCCAGGTTCAATCCCCACCACCCTATTTGGTCCCCCAAGTCCCACCAGGAACAAACCTTGAGCACAGAGCCAGGAGTAAGTCCTGAACACTGACAAGTGGGGGCCAAAATAAATGAACAAAAAACTGAAAAAAAATGACCAAAACTATATTTAAGTTTAAAACATTATGGAAAGTCATGGGGCTGGAGAGATAGCACAGCAGGTAGGGCATTTGCCTTGCATGCGGCCGACCCAGGTTCAATTCCCAGCATCCCATGTGGTCCCCTGAGCACCGCCAGGGGTGACTCCTGAGTGCAGAGCCAGGTGACCCTGAGTGCAGAGCCAGGAGTAACCCCTGTGCATCACCAGGTGTGACCCAAAAAGCAAAAAAAAAAAAAAAAAAAAAAAAAATCCTCAAAATTAAAAAAAAAATTATAGAAAGTCAAATAAGAAAATAAAAATGTGTTAAATTACCCAAGCATTTAACGCATCTTTGGTGCAAATTAGACTTACAATCAGAAACAAGTTTGCTTAAGCAGAAGCCTTAATAAAAACTTATAAACCACCGATACAAATACTTTTAGAAATGCAAAGCACTAGATTAGCACTTAAATTTTATGTGATAAAATTAAAGAACTATATGGGAAAGTGAATAAAATTTGCTATATTACTTTTACTCCATCTTGATCACAAAGTCATGGCTAGATTTGTTAATTACGAGACTGTAAGTAAGCTAAAGACTATGTTATAGGAAATATATTAGAAAACCAAGCTTAAGTATAAAGATTTCCATAGAGTATTTAGTTCTTCAATATATTTATTTATAGAAACATTTATGCTATCCTAATCAATATAAAATATTGTATACTATTTTAGACTTATAGAAGGTTATTTTATTATTTAATGGATTTATACCCTCTAATCCAATTTTGATTTTAGAAATCTATTTTATAAAAATAAACACCAAAAGCTATAATATATACACACAAATAGTCACAGTAAAACCATTATAATGAAAGATAATCTAATGCTTACTGTGTATATTCAGACTTTCAAATGCCAAGTCAACATTTAAAATTGAATGCATATAAAATCTTTAAGAGGGGCTATGGCAAAGTCCTTGGAAACCAAATAAAGCAAGAAAAATTGGCAATTTCACTCTAAGAGTCTTACTATATAATAAACTCAAAGCAACTTTCGATAGTGCCCAAATATTTTTCCATATAAAGTCACAAGGAACTAATTTCATGGAGAAAAAAATGTAAGTTATTTTTAATGCTATTTAAAATATTTTCAAAAAATAAAAATCTTTGCCAAAATGTAAATATTGTAATATCTCATACATTATGGCCCTAAATTTAAGGTAAAGGTAAAGGTAAAGGCCCTCCCGTTGATCGTCGATTTGCTCGAGCGGGCCCAGTAACGTCTCCATTGGAGACTTTGTTGTTACTGTGTCTGGCATATCGATATGCCTAAATTTAAGAAAACAGAAAAATTGGTAAGATAGCAATGATATGTTAAATAAAAGGAGAAAAATCATGGAAAAAAATGCTATGAAACTATTTCTGGATCTTAACATCAACAAAACCTCGCAATATGAAGCCATATAGTACAGAGTCAGAGACATCTACGGCGCTAAAGGCTAAAGCAGCAACAGTGACTACAACTGAGGGACAGAACTCAAATATCCAAGCTCTGCTATATGTATCTATAGTGTATGAATTAATACTATGACTATATACTACTTCTTACATTAAATAAGAAACTGGATTACACACACACACAAAAAAAAAATTAAAGATCAATAAACTGAACCAAAGTAAACTGAAAAGAAAAACAAAACAAAACACCCGACTCTGAGCCTTGGTGGGAACCACACTGATTAGCAGTGGGAAAGAAAAGTGTGTGGGAAAGATAGGCAGAAGGGGTCTTTCTGCTGGTGGGATGGTGCTAGAACTCTAGTGGTGCATGTGGTGAACTTTTACAAGAAGAAAGTTCTATAATATTGAAAACTATGATAAATTAATTAAAAAAACTGAAAAGAAAAGGAGCGTCTTATCAAGCGACAGTATGGAACATTAAGACTAGACTAAAGAGGCTGCGTGACCTCTTTAGTCTAGCCCACTGATGTACCTAAAGCAGCACACATGTGTTTGGTTTTAACAAACTTGCTCATATTCTCTTATATACATTCTCCGACCCTCTCGGAGACCTTGGCAAGCTACTAAGAGTATCCTGCCACACAGCAGAGCCTGGCAATCTACCCGTTGCATATTTGATATGCCAAAAACAGTAACAATAACAGGCCTCATTCCCTTCACCCTGAAAGAGCCTCCAATGTGGCACTGGCACCATTGGGAAGGACGAGTAAGGAGAGGTTGCTAAAATCTCAGGGCTGGGACGAATGGAGACGTTACTGGCGCCCACTCGAGCAAATCAATGAACAATGGGATGACAGTGACACAGTGATACAGTGATGGAACATTAAAATGATAAGATTTTTTTTTCCTTAGTCACCATCTCGATTATATGACACCATACTTGACTTAAACCAAAATTAGGCCGCATTTAAAGTCAGGAAAACAAATATGTATTTGAAAGAGTAAAATAAATAGTTATTAAAACTTATCAATATAAAACCTCACCTTGTCTTTCTGACAAGAAATTGCTTCAGATCCTGACAAATATTTCCAGTTTTTCGTCCAACTTCTAAGTACAAGTTTGGCCGATCAAAACTAGTAAGAGTAATCTGAGGATCCTTCAGTTTTAAACAACGAATAATGTCTTCCCGGATTGAAGAAGTTGCTGTAGCAGTGAGTGCAACAATTGGCACCTAAATGAAGAAAAACTGCTTTTTCAAAAAGGAAGTAGCTGACTAGTTCCCAAAACTTTCACTGTCTTCTTATAAATAAACTAATGTGACAATTATAGGTGGTACTATGTGAAAAATAAATTTTTAATTAGCTTTTTAAAGAAAAATGTAACTTCTGACATATTTCAAGACTTCTGAATAAAATCAATTCATAAAATAATAAATTTAAAGGTCTAAATATGATTTATCTTGTTGCAATGAAGCATACATATTAACAACCTTTCCATGTTATTTTTAACATTCATAATGCTAATATAAATAAAATGATACCATATTTTAATATGTAATTCACAAATTATAAATTTTTTAATTCAATGAAAATCTAACTATGCAAAATGAGTTTTCTTTTTTGATTCATATACTGGTAAATGCCTTCTCAGATCCAGAAACAAAGTTTCAAATGATTTCTTTCCGGTTTTACTATGTTAACTGTAACATTCTACACATTAAAAAAAAATCTTTATGACTTATTCTTCCAGCAACCAGAACTGTGCTCTTATTTTAGTCCCAAATAATGCTGAAAACTAATGATATATATCAATTAAAAAAATTTAAAAAGGAGCATCTTATTTCACCCACAGTACAGAAAATTAAAGACTTTGATTTTATCATTAGTTTTCAACATCATTTCCCTGAAAAAGAAGCAAAGCAGGTACACAGAAAATTCTTGCATGTAACATATAATCGTTAGAATACATAATCTTTTAGAAATTCTAAAACAGGTTAACATCATTTAACTAGACAATACTTCTGTCCCTCTTAACAAAGGGAATCATAATCAACTACACTATTACTTCAAAATCAGGGAAAAAAAATACCAAATCTCTTAAAAGTTGTTCCTAAGTCATCCTTAGCCAAAAATACGGTTTTCTGAAATAATTCTGACCCATTAACATATAGTAGATAATATTCATTAGAGTTCTTGAGATACACTGCATGTACCTTAAAAATTAATATATCTTGTGAGTAAAATTTTAAGCACAGCTGGCAATAGAGCAGTTATAGAACTTGAAAATAAGATGCAATTTATTAAAAATTTTAAACTACTTTTACAACTAACATAGTTTTGATGAACTAGAAAGTATCTCAAACGGTCTGGGACTGTGCATCAGCAGTAAAACGCCATCCTTGAATGGAAGTCCACAAATTCCCTAGCAACGTCACTGTATGATTAGACACTGACACCGCAATCCCGAGCATCACAACCGCTGGTAAGTGACCTCACCCCCAGACACTGCAACAACAAACAGTGTGTGTGTGTGTGTGTGTGTGTGGCGGGTGTTCTCAAAATTCAAGTAAAATAACACAATTTTAAAGTAGTTTTTAAAATCTGTAGCACTGTAGCACTGTCCTCCCGTTGGTCATCAATTTGCTCGCGCGGGCCCAGTAACACCTCCATTGTGAGACTTGTTGTTACTGTGTCTGGCATACTGAATACGCCACAGGGAGGCGTATTCAATATGAGCCTTGCCAGGCTTCCTCGTGGGGGCAGAATACTCTCAGAATACTCTCGGTAGTTTGCCGGCTCTCCAAGAGGGGTGGAGGAATTGAACCCAGGTGGGCGGGGCCGGCCATGTACAGGGCAAACGCCCTACTGCTGTGCTATCTATCAGTATGACCAGATACTCGGCAACTTTGCATTTTTCAATTCTGCCAGATTATTTTGAAATATAACCCAAGTCGGAGAGATAATACAATAAGTAAGGTGTTTGCTTTACATGCAGCTGAACCTGATTTGAATCCCCATACCATATCTGGGCCTGAGCAGTACCTCATCACTGAGCTGGTCTCTTGTCACTGGGAGTGCTCCCTTGGGTCTCTAAGTACCACTTGGGAAGGACCGATTTCCCCCAACAAAATTTTTTAAAATAAGTTCAAATTGTTAAGTTCTTCAGACATGCATATTCTCATCCTCACAACAGCAAAGCACTACTATTAATTTAAGTGATTTACTCAACTTATGGTTGTATTAACAAAATAGCCATTATTCGATCAAAAATACTAGATAAAGTATTTCAGCAGCTTATTGAAGATATCTCTGGACCCTGTACCAAGCAAGTTCCACACCTCAGCTGAAGGAGTGGGTGTGCCCTCTCTGCCCACTCCAGATGAAACCCCGGTGCCCACGAACTTCCAGAAGAAAAAAAAAACAGGTATGCAGATTCAAGGACTAAGACTCCAGACATGGTGGCAGCAGAGATGATTCATCCCTTCTTGTCTCCCCACCTGCTTGGCTGTCGAACCCATGATCTGTCCGTGGTTGCCATCTCAGTGCATCAATGGCCTTGATCCAGAGACTCCCAAATGAATCTCAACATGGATTAGCTACCTACAGAGATGTCTCTGGACCCCAAGCATTTACAATTTTAGAATTCCAAAAACAAAAGCGGCTGCAAGACCTCTCATGATACTCATAAAGAGCAATAAAATATAAATTATCTAGCCTCTGCCCCTGGCAGGCAGCCTTGAAAGGTGGTGGGAAAATTCGAAATAATGGTGGTGGGAAGTTGTAACGGTGGTGGGATTGGTGTTGAAATACTGAACGTAATCAATTAATGTCAACATCCTTATGAAAATAAAATTTTAAAAAAAAGGAAAAGTATTTCAAAATGAAGACCAAGAGACAGGCCAGAGAGAGTACAGAAGTTTAGCTACTTGCCTTGCATGTAGCTACCCTTGATCAATCCCCACACTGCATTTGATTTCCCCAAGAACCACCAAGAGTAATACCTGGGTACAAAGCTGGGAGTAAGCCCTGATCACAGTTGTGTGTGGCCCCCAAATCGAAAAAGGGCTCAGAGATGAGGGCTTCATTTATTCCCACAAAATACAATGTATATATGTTAGCAGGAAACTCATTTTTTAAAAATGAAACATGATTACCATTGAAGAAGTTAAAAAAAAGTTGGGAAAAATACTGCACAACACTGAAAATAATCTGGCTTAGACTCAAACGTCTCAAGTTTAAATCCAATCTATGTCACTAAGAAGATGTGAGATTCTGAGTTTTTTCTTTTGCTCTCTAAGCTATGCTTTTCCCATCTATAAAATGACAATAACAGAAATAATATCATAGTCTCTGTGAAGATCAAGTGCAGGAAAAGTACAGATAAAGTATGTAATGTGCTAGACATATTGTCTAGTAAGCATTAGAAAAGTTCTACAATACAGGATAGTCTCACTGCAGTGAAAAAAAAATTCTGTGCTAGAGTCCCAGGCACTTGGTCCCACTCCTAGATCTGACAATAAATTTGGGGAGAGAACTTATTTTGTTTAGTTTGGGCCACATGCAGTTATACTCAAGCCTTACTACTGGATCTCTGCTCAGAATATTCCTGACCGTGCTCAATACTGATATTCAAACCTGGGTCTGCTACATGCAAAGCAAACCACCATACTGGCCTCTATATTTTTCACCAAAATTGGAAATGAAGAAGGGTCCATGACTTAAATTTTCTAACTTAAAATGCTTCCACTGGTGAAGGTGGCTTGAAAGGTGGAGCACCCGCTTTGCATGCTAGAGTCCTGGGTTCGAGCCCCGGCAGCACAGGCTCCCCACTGAGCACTGCCATGAGTGGCCCCTGCATACCCCCAAGTGTGGTCCAAAAACAAAAGGGAAAAAAAATCCACTTTGCTACTCTAGTACATAAGAAAATAGAAATCACTATTCCAGTGATCTACTAACAATGAAAAATTATAAATTTTTCACCTCCAATAATCTAGAAAGTTGGTTTCAAATGCTGCTTCCAGGTGAGGGATATTACTCAGTGGGATAGAAGGAGCTTAATAAGTCTGAAGCTCTGAGAGCAATCCCTAATCCCTAGCACCACAAACTCAGCTTCCCCCCACCTTACCAACTCTCACCGCTAGCACTGCAAGGTGGGATTCTGGTAGCCCCCAAATATAGCCAGATTCTTGCTGGCCTGAGGCATGAGCATTACTGAGATGGGCATCTATTTAAAAGAAAAAAGAAAAAGAAACACTTCCATAACTGGAAAACAAATTAATGAAATATCTTAAAATGTAAGCAATAATTGTTTATATTCACTTCAGAAGTTCTAAACATTCTTAGACAGAACAGAGTCTCTTTACTTAAAAGCATGTGGTGTTTTATAATACTTAAGATTTATAAACCAGGGGGAAAGGAGGAGAGGGGAGAGAGAGAGAGAGAGAGAGAGGGAGAGAGAGAGAGAAATATGCCTGCCATAGAGGCAGGCTGGGGATGAGCTGGGGGCGGAGGGAACTGTGGACACTGGTGCTGGGAAATGTACACTGGTGGAGGGAGGGGTGCTGGAACACTGTATGACTGAAACCTAATTATAAACAGCTTTGTAAGGGACTCTCTGACAGTGATTTAATAAAAAAAATCTTGGGAAAAGAAAAAGAAAAAGAACACTCAGGGGTTAGGAAGATAGCTCATATGGCACAGCATCTGCCTGACATACGTAAGGCCAAGTCCAGCCCCTGGCACTACAGGACACCACCCTCTATACCCAGGCATTATTAGGTGTGGTCCTGGTGGTCTCCACGCTTCCCTGGGAGTTGTCCTACAAAGAAAAGTAAAATGAAAAATAAGCACCCAGCTTGTTATGAGAAAAGTGACCGTACAAACTGGCTTGCTGAGACACTCCCTGTCAGTGTTGTAATCAGAGTGTAATTTGTAATGGTTTACACCCTTTCCAAAAGCAGGAGGACTAGACAGGCAGTACAGGGGGTCAAGCATATGCTTTTCATACAGGAGACCTGGATTTGATCTCCAACATCATATGGTCTCCTGAGCACCATCAGGAACAACCACCTAGGCTTCTGGGGTCAGATGCAGCCATAAAACAAAACAACACCCAAAAAATTTCCAAAAGCAAACTAATTTGAATGATACATTGTCACCTAGTGTCAAGTCAACTCATAAAGCTCTTATTTTTAAAATTTGCAAATGTTCCTTATGCGCAGCCAGCCCAGCC